ATGACCTGCGAATTGGCGGGTCGGATTCGAGTGACCTGCAAATTAGCGGGTCGGATTCGAGTGACCTGCGAATTGGCGGGTCGGATTCGAGTGACCTACAAATTAGCGGGTCAGATTCGAGTGACCTACGAATTGACGGGTCGGATTCGAATGACCTGCAAATTGGCGGGTCGGATTCGAGTGACCTGCGAATTGACGGGTCGGATTCAAGTGACCTGCGAATTAGCGGGTCGGCTTCGAGTGACCCGCGTTTTTTGATCTTTTCGGCTGCCGTCTTGGACTTTGGCTTCCAAACTTTGTGCAGTTTTTGTGGCTTCTTTTCCACTTCTTCCCTCTGCAACCTTTTGGCCTCTTGCGCAAGAATTCGCGCGTGCGCAAGCAGTGCATGGCGATTTTTGATCCGCTCTTCAAGAGTTGAACGTGTCCTTTTGACTTGTACCCATTCACTTGTTGGTGATTTTGAGGAGAGGGCATTTGTCCGCTGTTGGGGCGCTTGGCGTTGCCTAATTTTTAGATCCACCTCGTAACTGATCCCGTCAATTGACTCCAAAGCCCTAACGAGTTGGCGCGCAAGGCGTTGGCACTGCCTTTGGCGAGCTCTCTTCGATAAAGTGGACGCGCCTTCTGTACTCAATTCCTTGATTGAGGAGGAGTTCAGATCTGCAGATCTGGACTCGTTGGAGGCCGGAAGGGCGTTGCAAGGTTCAGCTACCGCAGTAACGGGGGCGTTGATCTTCCTGCGCTTGTGAGAAGCGGAGGATTTGGAGGAGGAAGACGAGAGGTATTCTTCGTACTTCTGTTGGTCGAACTCATATTCGATCACCTCTTCAACCGGGATCTTAATCGTCGGTTGCGACACGACGGTCTCGGCAGCGAGACCGTTGGCTCCCACTGTGGTCGTCAGTTTGTTTTCGTTAAAAATTGCTGTATTCATTGCGGTATTCATTATAACTTCAATCATTACAATAAAAACAAGAAGATAATCTTTTTATAAGACTTTTACACAATGAAAACAAAAATTATAACTCTTGTTAAAACAAACGTAGGGAGTCCGTTTATCGTCTCCTGCTTGCGTGGGTGTCTTCGCCTGTACCGGGGTTTATCCGTGTACCACCTTTGATCAGATCCGGTTGCTAAAAATTCGACAGAGCTCCTACCTCACTAAGGAGGTATTTGCTTAAAGCGCTAAAATCGACCAAGCGAAATCGGTAGCTGTTCTCAAGATTAAGACCAAGCTTAATCTCGAGGAACGGACGGGAACATGCTTCAGATCCTTAGAATTGCTCCTTCTTTATGCCGGGATTTGTCGGGATCTCGCTAGCCCTTGTTGAATTTCGTGCTCCCTTGCTCTCCAACTCGGCAGCACCTCCTCGTCTTGATAATTAATCCGTCCCCTTGAAATGAGGCCCTAGGCTTGTATTTATAGGGCTCCGGATACGGGTTTTGGGATAAGAATCATGGATTCCTCCATATCTTCAGTTAATAACTGATTAACCATGTTTAGAGATAGGATTTAGGCAGTTAGGAACCTCTGGAACTGAAAAGATCTCATGAAAACCCGTCGAAACCGCCAAAAACAAGTTTTCGGGTCAAATTTGCGCGAAGGGGCGCGGGGCGACATGATCCAACCCGCGCGATCCAAACGCGCGGGTCGGATGCGTTCGATCCACGCGAGCGCGGGTTGGATCGCACGCGCTCTTTTTTGACCTTTGGTGTTTTTTTTCGGTTTTTCGGGACTTGTAGTTTCTCCCGTTTCGTTCACCCACCCGTCATGTTGGGTTGTACACTCCGCGCGAGTTGATTGACGCACATTGATTAACGCCTGCATGCTGATTGGCGTGCGTGTATTGATCGACGTGTGCGAGCTGAATGATGCACGCGTGTTGAACGTCGTGCGCGAGCTGATAGACGCACGCGAACTGATTGACGCGCGCGAGTTGAATGATACGCGCGTGCTAACTGACTGTTGGGCGTATTTGGATGCTTTGAGTTGATTGATGCGTGCGGGGCACTTGGCGTTTGCCGTTGTCGTGGTTCGTTGTCGTGTCATCAACGGTTCGCCGATTTGCTTCATGCGCTTATCGGCGTCGGATAATCCTCTTCGACTCGGATTATGACGTTCATCGCTTTCTCTTTGTCTAGAGCTGTATTCGGGGACCTATAGGCAAATTTTGACACCTACACGCTTCAGCAAGAAGTTTTCATACATAGGTCACAGAAAATTTTTGAAACCCTCACATCCATACCGAAGAAAGAAATCGTGGTTTTATCCTATGCATACAAAATCCTCTCTTTCCCAAATAAAAAAATAATGACTACATAATAGAAATACATGTCAAATTTAATTCAAAAGATAATAAAATAACCATTAACTACAAGATTACACGTCAAGTTCATTAAATACAAATGCTCTCAAAGAAATCGGTGATGAAAAATACTTAAAATTTTGTTGCATGTTGAAAAATTAATATTACAATGCTCTCAAAGCAAGGGAAAGGGTCAATAATTAGAGATCGAACCTCTTGTGGATGAAGTTGAGTGAGATTCCGTAAACACAACAAATTCAGATCTGCAATTAGCAAATCTGACTAAGTAACAAGTAGCAGAAGAAGATACAACCGTAAAGCCTCTGTCTTTTTAGCAATTGCAGAAACTTCACGAAGTGTTACTCAAAATCTACCCAAATCGGTGTCGCCCTAGCCATTGCTTTGATTTTTCATCATCTAGAAAAAAAAAAACGATGAAGCAATTCTGAAATTTAAGGGACAATTGAAAATTTGGCTCTACGACCTATGGAGCCTTCGAGAGGGAGAATGACGAAAATGATGAGAGAAAGGCGATGAGGAGAACCCTAAACCATTTCCCTAATTCACTTCCCACGGGTCTCAAAACAGTGAGCCGCCAAATTTTTTAATAAGTAGCGGTTCATTTCTCACCCATTTCAAACGTGAAGGGTCTGAAATAGGGTTTCTACAAAGTCTGAGGTGACAGCCCATTTCACACCTCCATTTCTTTAAGGGCCTGTTCGGTTTGCTCAAAAAAAAAATTGAGAAAACACCCGTCACCTCACATTTCAAGAAATCCCCCATGTGCCACATATGTTTTTGGTTTCAATGGTTTTCCATTTCTTCAGTTTGGTTCGTTTTGAAATTTAGAGAAATGAAACGCCACGTAGGATGTCACATCACATTTTTAAGAAATGTGTTTTCACAACAAAAACCTCTGAAAACACTTGGAAATGTCAATTCAATGAATTTTTAATATTTAAAAGCACTGTTGGAACAATGAATGGGAATTAAACAGATTATTTAAATGTTTCCATTTCTCTTTCCCTTTTTTTTGTTCAAACGAACACAACACAAAAAATGAAATGTGGAAAAACTCTTGAAATGTCATGATATCAAATGAAATGTGACATTTCCATTTCTTGTTTTTTTCGGAAAACAACCGAACAGGCCCTAAATCACCCAGTGAACCAAACGCTGGAAATGAAAATGGGTAGAAATAAAAAATCGACGTGGCTCTGTTGTTAGATTTCAAAAGCTCCATTTTCCTCTTTTTTTGAGCAAACAAACAGCCCCTAAGTACAAATCGAAATCTCTTGTACTTCTTTTGAGTTCTCTTCATCTTTGACCCAATATAAGAGAAATGATAGAGGCACACTCTTCACCACACCTCCAACCACACCTCCCCTCTTGCTACAGTGCACCGGACCCACTTGAGATTTAAAATTTTAAATCTCAAGTGGACCCGGTGTACTGTAGCAGGATGAGAGGTGTGGTTGGAGGTGTGGTGGAGAGTGTGCCTCTAGTGCCTCTCTTTCTTCTTCACGTGCTCTCATCACCAGTGGGGATTCTTTGTGATCCCTTGGCGATTAAAAAAAGTCCACTTTATTTACAATAAGAGTTTTTTAAAAAAATGTTATTTTGGTTTTGTGTTCGGCTGTGGACTCGGAATATTTGGATGTGACTAATCTCGATTAGATCCATCGTGCACGTTAATCCCCTTCTCAGTGGCCATTGACATCGTAGTGTCATTTGGATCTTGTGTACGTTCTGTCTGTACCCGGATCTTGACTAGCTTTATGGATATCCATACCCGATTAGGATCCAATAAGACATATTATTAGCATTGAATTCACATCGGCTCATGTTTAGGGGTCCACATGTCATGCTGGCTTTTGATGACTTTTAATTTTTATAATAAAATTCCTATAAAAACTGTATGGGTAGAATAATCATTTATTTGGTCAAACATAGCTTATTTATATGAGCTTATAAGCTAGTTTTTCAAAAATTAGAAAATCTTAATTTTCTAAATGAGACTTATAAACTAATTTATTGGTGATTTACCGAACAGTTGGATATAAAAAAACTAGCACAAAAACTAGTTTGATAAAAAAAAAACTTTCTCAAACACTCTCTCAGGCCTAGGTTTTCTTTTTGTCAGAGTATTTCTAATAGGTTATTGTTTTTTCTATGTTTTGAGTAGGCAGGAAAAAATTATTGGTTTTTTCAATTGAAATGATAAATAACTAAATACTACCTATCATATAAGCTTTAATAAAAATATGAAAAATATGACCATATTTCATTGATTAATAACAAAAAGTCACAATAAGTTTCATTATTATACAATTGTAAAAGCGTCACCATTACATTCAATTAACAAAGAGAATAAACTATTAGTAAAATTATGTAAGAATAAACTGTTAGTAAAAGTATGTAAGGAGATAAAAATATGAGGCATTTTAATCATTTTCCATGAGGAGATTTTTTTTTCCTACTTGATAATCCAAATTAGGTTCGGATTAATACAAATCCAAATTCAAAAAAAAAAACTGGAATTTTCCGGGAACTCTCTATTAACCGCTCAGCCATACCCGACCCGTAAATCTCTCTTAATCAAATCTCAGCGTAAAACCCCCTCTAAAACTAAAATATTACAAATACCCCTCCAAAATATCCGACGACGACGGCATTAATCTCGTGTCTAGTTACATGAACCGGAAAAAACTAAATCGTTACCAAATCAGGAAAGCCAAATTCTCCCAGGGTCCTCTCCACAAAAAAAAAAAAAAAAAAAAAAAAACCCTCTGGTTTCGGTACTCCGCTACAATGCCGGACTCAATCCTATATTACCATAATACCCTCTTCCTTTTCATTATTTTCACTTTGGTCCCTCTTCCCCTCTCTCTCATCGAGCTCTGCTTTCCCTCGTTTTTATCGAAGTACAAGATCCAGCCAAAGGTTTGGCTAACGCCGGCGAAGTTTCTGGAGTGTTATAAGAATGTGATGAAGGTCTTCTTTCTCGTTGTTTGCCCGCTTCAGTTGATGTCGTATCCTACAGTAAAGGTTAGGGTTTTGCTTCTGTTGTTTCTTTATTTGATGGAGGCTCTGCTTTCTTGGGGATTTTTGGTGGAAAGTTTCGTTTTTTGTTGAAATGTGATTGATTTCATCAGAAAGTTAGTTTCTTTCTTCTGTTTACTTGAATGGAGGTTTAACATGTGTGTATATTTTCTGGAGCAGTTAATTTGCTGCTGGGGAATTTGTAGGATTTTAATGGAAGATACTTTTTTTTTACTTGCTGCAAAATTGTATGTCTAAATTTGATTATTATCTTCCGAATTACTGGGATCAGATTTACTATAAATCTATCGATTGTTTATTTTACTTCTGTTTCCCCCCTTAAAAGATTCTATCTTATGCCAATTATTTGGTGTTTTCTTTCAAATTTGGAAAGTGTAAGGGGCTAATACATGGATAAAATTTTAATTTTTACTTGAACTGCAGTTAATAGGAATAAGGGCAGGATTGCCATTGCCATCATTATGGGAAGTGGGAGTGCAATTGCTTGTATACTTCTTGATAGAGGATTATGGGAATTATTGGCTCCATAGATGGCTTCATGGAAAATGGGGGTATGAGAACATTCACAAGGTTCATCATGAATTCACAGCCCCCATTGGCTTCGCTGCGCCTTATGCGCATTGGTCTGAGGTGCTAATTCTTGGAATTCCAACGTTTGTGGGTCCAGCGCTTGTGCCGGGTCATATGATAACATTGTGGCTCTGGATTGCACTTCGGCAGATTGAAGCACTCGACACTCACAGCGGGTATATGCTTTTTGTTCTCATTTTGTTTTGTTGTTTTAATTTTTATGATTTTTTGGGGTAAATTAGTGTCCCTTTCTAAACTATATTAATTCAGGGGAATAATGGAGCGGAAAATGTTGATCCTTAGCTAATGTCGGTATGACCAATTGATGTTATTGTTTATCCATGTCACTTTCAAACTCAACCAAAGGATCATCCATTATATTTAGAGAATCCGCCTGTATGTAATCAAAACAGCACCAAGTATTTTACATAAGCAACAACATTCGGACTACTTGAATTTTTAAGTTGTAGGGACACCTTCTTAAGGTAATACAATTTAAATGCTACTGTGGTAGTTAGTAGTACTGAAATTTTAAGTTATGTAAATGATATATTCAAGATATTATGTGAATAGTAGTCAGTATATTACTTGAAGTTCTGGGACCGTTTTATTGAAGATAGCACTATGTGAATGCTAGTCCAACACTTGATATATGATACTCCATGTGGAACCTATACTCTCATTTTACCAGTTTCTTTGTTAAGTACAGTCATGTTTGGAAATTATAGTTCATTTTTTCCTGAATTTTTCGAACATGTGAAATCTTTCCTCTTATTTCAGTATTTTTAGCCTTTCACTTTCTTTTGAGAATGTATAGTTTAACGTTTATGACATTTCCGTAGGATGTTCTCACAGACACGTAACAAATATTGGCGCAAAGTATTTTACATGTGTAAAAACATTATGTCAAAAAATAAGGATACATAAATTAACAAACATCAAGCTGATTTTTCCTTGTAATATGTTGAAATAATCTAATCAGAGCAGTGTATTCAATTTGTTTTCAAATAGGTCAGAAAAGCCAAGACTAAGATTGCGCCCATCTTTGTTAACAGTAAACTAACTAAATTGTCACACCCCAGACCTTTGACCCACTGGGGCAATGTAAGCACTAGGGCTAGGACCCATTGAGTGCAACACATTTGCTCCAACCACCTCCAAAAATGGATAGCCATTGTTGCACTTGACTCCCATGAACCCTTCCACACCCTCCTCATTTTCAGACAGTGTACTAAACTTGGGGTATCACATATCACAAAAGTCAAGTGAAAATTTCACATTGAGTATCCGGCTCGATTCAAGCTCATATCAACCATGTGGGAATATGCCAAGATTGAACTTGCAAGTCAACCTTTTTCTTAGCTTGTTAACACCCATAGTGGCTGTTTTCTGTTATTTATCTTGCAGTAAACTGATGTTTCATGGCATTCTGGGCTTTTAGTAATGTCCTTTTGCATGTTTGCTTCCATGATTCCATGGAGTAAGCTTTTTTGGAAAATATTGAAAAATTGTCGACAAGCCATTGAATGTTTTTAGCAACATTAAAGCTGTCATGGCTGCCACTTGTGTGTTACTTCCGGTACATGCCCCTCTGATTTTATATGAACTTTATTCGCGGTTACTGACACTTGCTAATTAATAGGTATGATTTACCTCTGAGTTTTACGAAATTCATTCCCTTCTATGGAGGTGCAGAGTATCATGATTATCATCATTATGTTGGAGGCCAAAGCCAGAGTAACTTTGCATCTGTGTTTACATATTGTGACTACTTGTATGGTACTGATAAGGTTTGTTGGTTTGATTTCATGTAAAATGTGATACTTTTAGAGAGAAAATATATTTATGCTACTATGTTTGCTCATTATTTCAGGGCTACAGGTATCAGAAGGCTCACCTTGCAAAGGTAGCTTTTGATCTTCTTTTATACTTCAATTTTATGTACTCATGCTACAACTGTAAGGTCATTTGTCTTATCATTCAGGACATATGTGTGTGCGTGTTTGCGCATGTCTTTAATTGTGAATATTGGGATATTTTGTAAAGAATAGCTTCTATGAATTGAATAGAAGAAACAAATATTCTAGATATGGTTTCAAAATGGCTAGAAAAAAATGGGACTTTGCTCATATATCTTCTAAAACTTTACAAATGCAAACTGATACATGTATGAGGAGCTGCTCAGAAGTTCTGAGAATAGCATTAATAAATCATATTTTCTCCTACAAAATAACATTTTTCTTATATATTTTTCTCGTCTTAATTAAATTATTTTCCATCTCAAGCAGTTGAAGGAGCAATGGGCCTTGGGTGATCAAAATGGAGTAAGCGATTTGAAGAGCAACCAGAAGTCTGAGTAAAAAGGTTTTGTAGTTGCTCGCTTCAAAAGTTTTTGTGAGGCAGCGGATGGATCTCGTACCTTCAGCTCTCTACATGATTTTCCTGTGCAGAATGTTTGCTTTCTTTCAGGTGCATAGAATGGCATTGGGATGATATCTGGACTCTGGAGAATGTTTCTGTATTTTTTAGGCCTCAATTGGTGATTTTGATATACAGTTAAGGGTGTTTCTTTGTATGGGCAGATATCTTTGTCTTTTCAGAGTGTTACTATTGTTGGATTTAATCTAATAAATCTATTTGTGGACACATATGATTAATCAATGTGTATTGCTATTCTTCAGGATAACCCACTAAAGTGATCAATTAATTTGGATTTATGAGTATTTAAATAAGTCATGGGGTTATATGTGCAGATATCAGGTTGTAAATATGATTTGATGAGGGGCTAAATTGTAAATGTACAACATCTATAAATAATGGGTTATGGTCCCTAATCTAGGGTTACATTCTCTAATCATCTTCACCCCCATCTAGAGAGAAATTTGGCTAGAGAAACCCTAATGTTAGAAGATCCAAAACCCATCTCAAGTTTCATCTATGGATTCAGGTATAAGCTTTTGCTCTTTTGATTCTTGTTAATCTCTTCGAATTAATCATGGTTTTATGGTTTTAGATCTCAAGTTTTTTTTAATAAGATCTAACAAGTGGTATCAGAGCCACCTTTGATTAATTATTAGGGATTTAAGTTTTAAAATTGAGTTTTTTTATCTTAAATCTCTGTTTTTTTGGATTAAGATCTGTTCTTGGATGAACAGTAACGTTCGGATGAACAGTTACGTTTTTATTTTTCGGATCAACAGCAAATAAAAAATCGCTGGTGAACAGTAAAATTTTTTAATTTTTTGATTTTTTCTTTGATTTTTTCTTGGATCTGAATCAAGAAAACTCATTTTTTTCGATTCTGGATCTGTTTTGAAATAAAATTGAGAAATTCTTTTGGATCTATTGTGTTTTGGTCGTTGATCCCGTGCTCCTCGCCGGCGAAGTGTCGCGGCGGCCTCGCTCTCAACTTCGACAGCGACGACGGCGTTAGGAAACCCTAGGGTTTCGACCTTTTGGGTGCGGGAACAACGACGACGGCGGTTTCAGATTTAACCCTCTAAGGGTTCGTGCGTGAAAACGTGCGGGAATTAAGGAGGTGGTTACCTCAAATTTTGGCGAAGCTGAAAGCTTCAAACGAACTTCGCGTTCGTTCTAAGGTGAGCCTCGCGCTCAAATCAAATTTTGGCGAAGCTGAAAGCTTCAAACGAACTTCGCGTTCGTTCTAAGGTGAGCCTCGCGCTCAAATTTATACGAACTCCGCGTTCGTTCTAAGGTGAGCATCGCGCTCAATTTAAACGAACTTCACGTTCGTTCTCAGGTTGAGCCTCGCGCTCAATTCAAACGAACTTCGCGTTCGTTCTTAGGTGAGCCTCGCGCTCAATTCAAGTTGAGCCTCGCGCTTAGTTCTTAGGTGAGCCTCGCGCCCAATTCAAGTTGAGACTCGCGCTCAGTTCTTAGGTGAGCCTCGCGCTCAGTTCTCAAGTGAGCCTCGCGCTCAATTCAAGTTGAGCCTCGCGCTCAGTTCTCAGGTGAGCCTCGCGCTCAATTTAAGTTGAACTCCGCGTTCATCCTCAGGTGAGCCATGTGCTCAATCCAAACGAACCTCGCGTTCGTTCTCAAGTTGAACTTCGCGTTCATTATCAAAACGAATCTTGCGTTCGTTCTCAAGTTGAACATCACGTTCAGTTTTTAAACGAACCTCGTGTTCATTCTTAGGTGAGTCTTGTACTCAATACAGTCGAACCTCGCGTTCGAAATCAAGCGAACTTCATGTTCACTATGGTTAAGCCTCGGCTTTTCATAGGTCCACTTTGGTATACTTAATTTATTCAATTAAGTCATGGACCCTATTTAAGCTATGGAAATTTAAATTAATTTAATTTAAATTTAATTTGGTTTTTTAATCAATTATTTAATTCAAATATTATGACACTAAGGTATTAAGGTTGTCTCTCACTCCAACTGATTAATTAAAACAAGAAGTTGCCAAAGTAACCTCTCTTGTGTAGATTGTTCATGAGGAATGTGAGATGTTTGTGTGTATGCTTTCGTGTAAATATTTAATCGGCCCAAAGGAAGGTTAATATTTATTTAGACTGTATACACATTTGCGATGATAAGCGTGTGACAATTATAAGGTTTACGTGTGAATAATTAATCGATCCAAAGATAGTTTTATTATTTGACATGAGTTATTGTCAATGTTTGATCATTGCAACAAGGTATCACTTACAAGTTTATATTACTGTCCAAAGATTTGATATTAATGTTGTGCCAGATATCTTGGATGGGATTCGTCATTATTTGAATTTTATTGATTACTAATTATGGTTATTGATGTGAGCATTTTTATTTTATTTCAGCTAATGCATCTGCTGCAACAATTTCTGCTAACATCAACTCAATTCTCATGCTAAATGGGACAAACTTCAAGGTTTGGAAAGAGAACATATTAATTGTTCTTGGCTGCATGGATCTTGACTATGCATTAAGAATTGAACAACCCCAACCTCTCAATGCGGATAGCACTCCTGATGCAAAGAAGGAGTATGAGAAATGGGAGCGTTCAAATCGCATGAGTCTTATGATCATTAAGCGCGGCGTTCCGGAAGCTTTTAGGGGCATAGAATCCGAAGGGATTACTAAGGCTAAAAATTTCCTTGCCGAAATTGAGAAGCGTTTTGCGAAAAACGATAAGGTAGAAACAAGCACGCTCTTAGCTCGCTTGATTTTAATGAAGTATAAGGGCAAATGAAATATCAGGGAGTATATTATGGAAATGTCTCATATTGCTTCAAAGCTTAAGGCACTTAAACTCGATCTTTGTGATGAGTTATTGGTGCATCTAATTTTGTTGTCTCTTCCTGCACAATTCAATCAGTTTAAGGTCAGTTATAACTGCCAAAAGGAGAAATGAACTCTAAATGAGCTCATTTCATACTGTGTGCAAGAAGAAGACAGGTTGAAGCAAGATAAGACAGAAAGTGCTCATTTGGCCTATGCCTCTAAGGATAAGGGCAAGAAAAAGAAGAATGATAATGAAGCTGTTAAGGGTCCAGTTGAGAAGAACAAGCCTGGACACGTAAAGAATGATTGTACAAAATATCACGCCTGGCGTGCTAATAAGGGTACGTTCCTTACTTTGGTTTGTTCTGAGGTTAATTTAGCTTCAGTACCTAGAAACACTTAGTGATTAGACTCTGGTGCTACTACTCACATAAGTGTTTCTATGCAGGGTTTCCTGAGCTACCGAAAGCCAAGTGATGTTGAAAGACACATCTTTGTGGGCGACGGACAATCGGTAGATGTGGAAGCAATTGGGCACTTTAGGTTGTTGTTAGGAACTGGTTATTATTTGGATTTAAAAGATACTTTTGTAGTACCGTCTTTTAGACGGAATTTGGTTTCTGTTTCTGTATTGGACAAATCAGGTTATTCTTGTTCATTTGGAAACAGTCAATTCAGTTTATCTTTTAATTCAAATGTTGTGGGAACCGGTTACTTGAGTATTTATGACAACCTATATTTGCTTGATACAATTGCTTCTTACAATGAATCCTTGCATGTGGAATCACGTGGTACTAAGCGTAAATTAAATAAGGAAAATTCGGCGACATTATGGCATAAGCGCTTAGGTCATATCTCAAAAGGTAGAGTTGAGCGTCTTGTGTCTGATGGCATTTTGGATTCCCTTGATTTTTCGGACTTCGACGTATGTGTTGAATGTATCAAGGGAAAACAGACCAAAGTTAAGAGATTAGGTGCCAACAGATCTTCGGATGTCTTAGAATTGATACATACAGATATTTGTGGGCCATTCCCTACGGAATCCTGGAATAGTCAACAATATTTTATATCATTCATAGACGATTACTTACGTTATAGGCACCTATATCTTATTCATGAAAAATCTGAGTCTCTGGACATGTTCAAAGCCTATAAAGCTGAAGTTGAGAATCAACTCAACAGAAGAATTAAAACCGTTAGATCTGATCGTGGTGGTGAGTACTACGGTAGATATGATGGTTCAGGTGAACAACGTCCAGGACCATTTGCTAGATACCTAGAGGAATGCGGTATCGTCCCACAGTACACTATGCCGGGTTCACCTAGCATGAATGGTGTAGCTGAAAGACGAAACAGGACTCTTAAGGATATGGTAAGAAGTATGATTGCTCATTCTTCTTTACCAGAGTCTCTCTGGGGAGAAGCACTTAAGACAGCAGCTTACATTCTGAATAGAGTACCAAGTAAAGCAGTTGCTAAAACACCTTATGAGCTTTGGACTGGTCGAAAGTCCAGTTTAAAGCTTTTACATATTTGGGGATGTCCAGCTGAGACAAGGCCTTACAGGCCAAATGAAAAGAAATTGGACTCCAAAACAGTTAGCAGCTACTTTATTGGGTACTCTGAACGCTCTAGGGGTTATAAGTTTTATGATCTCACACTAAGGAATATTTTTGAGACGGGAACAGCAACATTCTTTAAGGATGTTGAGTTTGGGAGTGAAATAAGGTTAGAGACATTAGTTTTGAGGAGGAATTGGCTTCAGATCCAATCCATACAGTTACTTTTGATAATATTCAGGTTACTATACCTGTTGTTGCTCAAGAAGTAAATCAGGAACCTCAAGATGATAATGTTGAACAACTCCCTGTTCCAGAAGAACAAACTCAACAACCTCAAGAACCAGTGCCATTAAGGAGATCCACGAGAGAAAGGAGAAATGCTATTCCGGATGATTATATTGTATTTCTCCAAGAACATGAGGAAAGTAGTGGAATGTTAGAAGATGATCCAATCAACTTCTCTCAGGCCATGAAAAGTTCTAACTCTCAACAGTGGATTGATGCCATGAATGAAGAGTACAAGTCTATGCAAGACAATAAGGTTTGGGAACTTGTCCCATTACCAGAAGGTGCAAAACCAATTGGTTGTAAATGGATTTTTAAAACCAAGCGGGATGCAAATGGTAATGTGGAGAGGTATAAGGCATGTCTTGTGGCTAAAGGCTATACTCAAAAGGAAGGCATTGATTATACAGAGACTTTCTCTCCGGTTTCATCGAAAGACTCTTTCAGAATAACCATGGCACTTGTTGCTCATTATGATCTTGAGTTACATCAGATGGATGCCAAGACTACATTTCTCAATGAAGACATTGATGAGATGATTTATATGGTGCAACCAGAAAATTTTGTGTCAGGAGACCCAAAGAATATGGTCTGCAAATTAAGGAAATCCATCTATGGACTCAAGCAAGCTCATCGTCAATGGTATCATAAGTTTCAACAAATAATTATCTCGTTCGGTTTTGAGATGAACATTGTTGATGACTGTGTATATCACAAGTTCAGTGGGAGTAAGTATATCTTTCTGGTTATGTATGTCGATGACATATTGCTTGTCACTAATGATATAGGCATGCTGCACGAAACCAAAAGATTTCTATCAAAGAATTTTGAGATGAAAGATCTTGGGGACGCCTCTTTTATATTAGGAATTCAGATACATCGAGATCGCTCTTGGGGTATTCTTGGATTATCACAAAAGAGCTATATCGATAAGGTACTTAAAAGGTTTGGCATGCAAGACTGCAGACCAGGAGACACCCCTGTGGCTAAAGGAGACAAATTTAGTCTCAATCAGTGCCCTAAAGGTAACCTTGAAATTCAGGAAATGCAGAAGATTCCTTATGCTTCGGCTGTAGGAAGTCTAATGTATGCTCAGGTATGTACGTATTCGGATATTGCGTACATTGTTGGGATGTTAGGCAGATACTTAAGCAACCCTGGTATGGATCATTGGATAGCAGTCAAAAGGGTTATGAGGTATCTTCAGAAAACAAAAGATTACATGCTCACATACAGAAAATCAGAATAGCTGGAGGTCATTGGGTACTCTGATTCTGATTTTGCTGGATGCCAAGATAGCAGAAAGTTTACATCAGGCTACATTTATATGTTAGCAGGAGGAGCTATATCATGGAAAAGTGTCAAACAAACATTTGTAGCTTCCTCCACTATGGCAGCAGAATTTATAGCTTGCTATGAGGCATCCAATCAGGGAATATGACTGCAAAATTTTGTCACGGGACTGTGCATTTTGGAAAATATGGAAAGACCACTAAGGTTATATTGTGACAATAAATCTGCAGTAATGTATTCCAATAACAACAGGAGCTCAACTAAGTCAAAACATATTGACATCAAGTTCCTAGTTGTGAAAGAAAGGGTACAGAGTGGACAGATATCTATAGAGCACATTGGGACAAACTCCATGATAGCGGATCCTCTTACTAAGGGATTGCCACCCAGGGTCTTTCATGATCATACTGCTCATATAGGTGTGGTATTATTTGAGGATATCATAATTTAGTGGGAGTTTGTAATTGTGGTGCTTTATGTTTTGTTGTATTGTCTGGTCAGAATAAAGTATTCAGTTAAGACACTCTATTACATTATGTTTGGTTTTGACCTCACACTAAAGTAGGACCAGTTGAAAATAGACATGTACTGATCACATTGCATGTAATTTTCATGCTGCACATCCATGATTGATCTATGTCGTTTGATTGTATTGGTATATGTGACCATTGATGGGTCAAATCACGATAAATGTGACGAAGGCTGCTTTGATCCTATATTGATATAGTCAATGGACGAGATTGCTCGGAAATACCTTTTCAGTGATAGCAATTTTGAGCTCATAAGGTTATACACAATTTAAGGAATCATATGGTGCCCAAGTGGGAGATTATTGGATTTAATCTAATAAATCTATTTGTGGGCACATATGATTAATCAATGTGTATTGCTATTCTTCAGGATAACCCACTAAAGTGATCAATTAATTTGGGTTAATGGGTATTTAAATAAGTCATGGGGTTATATGTGCAGATACCAGGTTGTAATTGTGATTTGATGAGGGGCCAAATTGTAAATGTACAACATCTATAAATAAGGGGTTATGGTCCCTAATCTAGGGTTACATTCTCTAATTCTCTTCACCCCATCTAGAGAGAAATTTGGCTAGAGAAACCCTAAGGTTAGAAGATCCTAAACTCATCTCAAGTTTCATCTATGGATTCAGGTATAAGCTTTCGTTCTTTTGATTCTTGTTAATCTCTTCGAATTAATCATGGCTTTATGGGTTTAGATCTCAAGTTTTTTTTTTATAAGATCTAACAACTATTGCCACTGCTGTCTTTCTTCAGTTGTTTACAAGTACTGTATATTTACTTGTTCTTGCGCAGATTTGATTTGTTGGCGTGCAACGCATGTGCAATAAAACATTTAAGGGGGGTTTTCCGTTTATACCCATCAAACCTCCGTACTTACAAATTTACTGAAATATTGATATTTGCAAAATTACCTTGTAATTCTCTCACATTAAGTTTTTCTGCTCCTTTCACTTGACAATTTTAGTTTTTATAAATGTGAAGTATTGCAAACTTGTTGGAATTTTTTTGAAAATTTTCGGTAGTCTGCTTTTGAAACCAATGTTGTTTAAGTTGGAGGGGTAGGAAACCCCAATGTGAGAGAATTGGGGGATAATTTTGCAAATATCTAGATTTGGAGGGTAAAACTGCAAAATATGGAAGACGTGTAGGGTATATATGCAAAATTATACTCCAAATCGTTAAATACTAATCTGGAAATACTAGCTGTGCATTGATATTACTTCTTTAGAGTGCAGAAGCAGAAGGTTTTTATTTTTTTTCCCGACTCCGAACTCATGATACTTGTTATTCTATTTTAGATCCTCAAAGTTTCATTCACAATATGCTATAAATCTCAACTTAATACATCCCTTTAAATAACTAGCAATGCTCGACAATTTTCATGATCAAATGAACCACAAACTGTTTAATGTGATAACTTTGTGATCCTTAGTTTCAAATAGCTGTCTTTCATACCAAACAAAAGAGAGAGAAATTCAACTGTTATAAAGTTTTATTTCTAGCTACCAGAGCACTATGTACAAACCAGTTGAAAACAGATTTGTCACGGGGCGATTATTCGGTTAAATAACATCTCCAAGCGCTTCTAGTTATGCTCCTGAAGAAAATTAGCTCTCTCTGTGGTATTTACATGGTAGGATTCCAGTTGAAATCATAGGAGGGCTCAGCAAGCTTCCCTCGAGTCCACCTCTTCAACATCTCCAGCGCGGCCTTGGGCTGGTCCATTGGCACCATATGCCCTGCATTATGTACCTACGTTGGGCAAAATACCATTACAAACTATGAGACTATGTTCACCAAAGTTATGTAGATTTTTGACCAGTGAATGGATTTCAGAAGGAACACCTTAAGGAAACTGAGAGGACCATGAGTTTTCAATACTCCAGCTTCCGCACCGTCCACTGTGAAAGGCATTTCAGGTGAAGAAACAAAGTTATGCTGACCAGACCATTCCATTGCATGAACCCATCTTGAGTTTCCTGTTAATTTCAAGACCAAATCATGTAAAAATTCAGTTAAAAAAAGCCACTTCAAAACTAGGTGAGAGAGAGAGAGAGAGAGAGAGAGAGAGATTGCCAAGCACAAACAATTCACCTTTATGGACCAAAACTAAAAAAGGCAATTCACGATAAAAGCTTTGAACATGATTCGTGATGTTTAAGGTTAAATGGACAAGCATTGACTTATTAAAAAAATCTAAAAGATGTAGTAGTATGGTTCTGCTGGCATGTAGCCTTCATAATGCGCCTTATTATATATGGCTATACTTTTATCTTTTGAGAATATGGACGGAACCTCCACTAAAGAGGCCTCCAGCCACTGCCATTCCTCAAACATGACGGGTTGCAAAATTAGAGATCACAGTATATGACTATACTTGGGGAACTATCATTTGTGAACTACAAATCATGTAGCTCAGGCAACACAATGAATAAAAAAAGCATTTTCCATTGTCCTGTGACAAACAAGATCCTGAATGCAACAATCTGGTTACAAAAACTTACCAAGCCAGTTGCAGATTAAATCATATTCCCCAGCATATATTAGCATCTTGATACCATCCTCAAGAAGAGCAGGAACGCCCGTTTCCAAATTCCTCATCCAATCCGTGAGCAAGGCCTGATACACACTTTGGCTACAGGAGACAAATTCTATGTCCCCAACTCCAAGAGCATCCCTAGTAGCCTTCTGGTTGAGAAACTTTTCCATGTTTGAGAAATCATAACAAAGTTGCCCTTCACATTGCTTTCTGATGTCGTAATACTATAAATGTGGAGAGCGCAAAGTTAGCAAAACATAAAACACGCCCGTCTTACTAAACAAAGTAGAGGAGGGAGAGAGAAATGGTGATTCCTTACATTTATATTTCCAGCAATCCGCATGATGGAATTGAAAATAGTATTGCAAACCATGTATGATGCCAGGCAGGTTGTAGTTCCAGATGTACCTGAAAAAAATGATGTTCCAAAGTTATTTCTTAAAGCTATTGGTAATATTAAACGCTAAGCAGATCATTTTTCTATGGACATCCTTTTGTTGTTGACTTAGGGTGAATAAAAGTTGCAACACAATGTCACTGTCTACCCATATTAACCATCGATTGCTGGTGACACACACCATGTGTCCGTGAACTAATGGTCTGTCTCATTATTCTTTGTTGCTAGATAATCCTGTTAGTAAGCATTAATGCTCAAAAGATGCTTCAAAGGAACTCCATTAAAGATCTGATGGAAACACAGAGGTATTATAGTTCTATATTAGCATATAAAAGTGCATAGTGAATGCCTATAGCTAATCTACATACCCCAATATAGCCAGTTAACGAATGTGACCTGAAGGCATAATTTCCTACACCCAAAAGTATACTGCTCCAAGCACTATCTTAAAAGAACATTACCCTTGAACAACTGATATTTCATTTTGTCCAACTGACAGTGACTGTGACATTTTAATGGAAAAAATTAAAATCAACAGCTTGCAGTAGCGAAATTACCACATAGTTTGATTGCAAGTTCACATGCCGGTAGGATCTTGTTGATTCTTTCATGATCAGCTTGTTTAATAACTTTGTTCTCCAGTGCATAATCTGTGTATGCTTTGTACTGGATTGCTGGATTAGTGAGTCCATTACCGATGGCAAAGCCCTAAAATAATTTCTCGAAGATGTGAGTATCCAGAATGAGAAATCAGGTCAAAGTTTTCAAACTGCAAAGGTGAATGCCAACCTTTAAATTTATGTGGACACCTTCCTTAGCTTTGTTTCCCTGATGAATGCATAGGACTCTCCTGTAATGTAGAAATCATTCTCTGCAAACTCTGGATGCTCAGCAAAAAAGGCCTGAGGATTTTAGGCAGCAAGAGCCCGCTGTCAGAAGTAAATTTAAAAATATGGAAGGTGGTAATGGAAGTCCATGATGGCATAACAATTTGACTACCAAGAAAAATTCATATGTACTAACATATAACCAAATGTCCACAAACTTAATTAGAATCATGTTTATACTATGACATATATGACATATTTAAGAATAAGAAATCAATTAGTTTATGTTACAGTAATGAAGTACCTAATGTGATTATACTGCATAAAAGTAATTTCATAAATCATGGACATACGAAACAGGGAGATTAATAATTTAATTACGCATTATTCCTTAACAATAGGAAAAATGGCTGTGCAACTTCCCTTTTTTTCTTGAATTACACAACTATAGATAAAAAAAAGGAAATAACAGGACAGAAAGCAAGTTGCCAGAAGCTATAGCACTGGAAGAACTGTATTACATGCAATGAGCATTATGATTACCTGGAGAAAATCATATAGGTCATCGCTCACTCCCTTCTCATTGTGACGAATATCACGCTTATCAGAGCTATAACTAAAACCAGTTCCTGTGGGCTGATCCACATATATAAGATTTGATGCCTGCAGAAGTTTAAAGGAACATTAGTTATGTATAGATTAATACTAACATTCTAGTGCAGAAAGGTCATCATTTTTGTTTCACTTGTTCTCGATAAAATAAACACAAAATATAAGATTTATAGGTCCCCATATCATGCTTCATTATATCGACAATCTGTAAAAAAAAATGTTATACTTCCTTTATTACATCTTATTTTAGCCTATATTGCACTCAGAGGACATGGGCAAGACAAGGCATAGACATACAAAATCTTTAAAGAAAAACCACAGATACGGATACATTTTGGACATGGCTTTGTGGGAAGCAGGTGGTCATGTGGATTTACATGCAGGCGGGCAGGAGCTTGTGTGAAAATTTACTATCAGTAAAGTTTAAGAGACCTGAATTACCTTAACTGCAGGAATACCTTAACATGAGATTTGCGTATCTACTTAATGATCGAAAAGGCTAATGTATCTATTTAGAGAGTCAAAATTAGTGTAGCTTGTTACAATTTTGGCTCATTTTATCATTGTACCCTCGTTTTTACAGTTTAGCACTAATCACTGACCATCTCCAACAAATCCTATAAGGCAGAATGTACAGCTCAGCACTTCATTTCTACAAAATTTTTAATAATGAAATAGTGTTGAAGTTCAGTCTGTTTACACAAGAAGAATACTGTTCAAATGATTAACAATGCTCAATCAGGACCTAAAGCAAATACAGAAGTTAGCATTAGAGATAGCTAAAAGTTACCAAGCTAGAAATAAAGAAATTAATATACAGTTCCTCACCATATCAGAATAGTATCAAATCGCAGATTAAACAAACACTTTTAATAACTACATAGCAAATATTGGAAATAGCTGAAAGGAAAACTTTTGATTTCATACCTGATCCCAACCAAAGTCATTCCAAACAAGTGAAAGGTTATTAGCGATATTGAAAGGCCCGTTCTCATAGAACACAGCCAGTTCGCTGCTACAACCAGGTCCTCCCGTCAACCAAATCACAACTGGGTCCTTCTTGTTGTGCCTCGATTCAAAGAAGAAGTAGAACATCCTACACAGGGAAAAATTATATGTACAACTAAATCCCAAAGAAGGGGGGAAAACATTTTCAACAGCAATCAATGCAGATGTATCTAATTAAAATCTACCAACTTAACAACCCATCTACAGGACTCTAAATATCAAAACAAAGATGAACTGCACTGAAATTGAGGGGACACTATCCCCAACATACAGTAACCCACATTGATCAATCCTGAAACCAGGGCATCATAAACTTAGCCAACCAGTCAAGTCCAATCTCTACCCACATTGATCAATACTGAATCCAGCGCATCAAAAACTTAGCAACCAATTACACCCAACCATCTGATCGTTAGATAGAAATGGAATTTCGGTTACTGTTCAATTGAAAACAATGGAAACCCAATTTCGAACGAACAACAAAGCACCAAACTTTCCCATCTAAATCAGAGAAAGATCTCACCTTGCGTCATAGGTATGGGGCAACTTGTAGTACCCAGCATGATGCCCTAGATCCTGAACAGGGACCCCATCGGAGAGAAGCCCAGGGAACGCAAAGCTCCTCTCAACAATTTCCTTCCCCAAACCTCCAGCATCTCGCCCGTTATCGGCATCGGCATCTCTCGGCAAGAGGTTGAGCGATCGGATGAGCCCCTCGGCGTCGAGACTCGGGAACCTCGCCGTTGAGGGGAGCTTCAGATCGAGGTCGGGGAGTAGAATCGCGAGGGAGAGAGAAGAGGAGAAGAAAATAACCGAGAGGAGTGGGGCAAAAGGGAGACTTTTCGCCATCGCTGGGTTACTGAGGAGTGAAGGATGGAGGAGGGGTTTCCCCTGTTTATTTATTTATAAAGGGGGAAGGGAGGAGAAGGGTGGAAGGAAAGGGGAAGTTCGGTTGGATGGAGTGTGGATAAAGGATCAGTGATGCGTACAAGCTAATTTTTAAATTAATTAAGTTTGTATTCATTTACGATTGAGATTCCATTGTGTCCCATGTTTTGCTTATTATTGGTAATGATGCTCATTCCACTCCGTTAAAATATTGACTTTAGGAGTTGCGAACTTGTAACTAAATATTACAATATCCGTGGGGTCTTTTAAGGGGAAAAGAATATTATATGGAAAGCCACAACAAGAAAATATAAATATTTTAAAGAGATTAATGGGTCTCAATGTCAAGGAGTGGATTTTCCTCCTTCATTTCTACGTGGCATAATCTCCATCATGAGAATTATCTATTCTATTTTATTCCCATAGTGAGGATTGTGCCACATATGAGTCAAGGAGAGAAAATCCCCTCATTGACAATGATACTCATTAATCTCTATTTTAAAATAGATTTTTTTTCATAAAAACTAACTTCAAAATAGGCTTAATTGATAGTAACCATCTTTAGATAGAGTTCTTTTTTTTGTGAAAAAGCCATCTTATAAGTGGTTTAGATTTCAATCAAGTACTTTAGGGCTTGTTTGGATTGAGAGGAATAAGGGTGAAGGGAAGTTAGGAGAACCATTCACCTCCATTCACCTTGTTTGGGAACATTTAGGAGGTGAAGTTATTCACCCTAGTTCCTCTTGGTTCACCCCCTAATAGTATAAAATTTGTTACCCCCCAAATTGGGGTGTAACCAAAGGGAAGAGAACTCCCTTCCCTTCACTTCCATTCTCTCACCTAGTTTCTCTTAACTTCCCTTCACCCCCTACAAATTCAAACAGGCTCTTAGTACAATCTCCCAGTAAGACCCTTATTACATGTGGGTAGCAGGTGTCCTCAACTACCCACAAGGTTTTTACATATTAGTCCCTCAGTTCGAGGGGCTTTTTTGTTTTGGGGAAGAACTTGTTTTGAATTGAGATGAATCATTTCAGAGAGCAATGGTTTTGTTTTGTTTAGTTTTTTTAAGAAGGGAGCGCTTGAGGTGGGGAGAAAGCCCATCTCAGAGTGCCATAGGATTCAAGAGATTTTAGAGCAAATTCAATGATTTGAAGGACTAAATTCAAATTATTGAAGATTGAGAGACTAATATGTAAAAATCTTGTCAGGTAGTTCGGAATACGTGTAGTAATAAGAGTATTATGTGAAGAAATTGTGCTAAGGTCATTGATTGCATGCTAAACCTTAGTTATCAGTTGGTTTCTGTATAGAAAAAACTTTAAAAGCAATTCCTATCAGTTTAGCTGATTTGAAAGGGGGGTTTTTATGAAAAAACTAACACATAGGATTCTGTTAAATGGTGTGAGTAACTAGATATAAATAATTAGTATAAATCATTCATAGGACACTTACGATGCTATAGCAGTATACTTGTTCATAGGACCTTCACAATGCCGAATATACATTCTAGGAGTGCAATTATACCACTAAACATTTATAAATTTACATGTAAGTTCATGTAAAATTTTACATCCTACCCCCTAATTTTTAAATTTGCATCCCAAAGCTCATTTAAACCTCTGCAATAAAATGTACCGAGTGCATTCTCATTACATACTATAATTTTATAAATATTATGCTTTTTATTTCTAGATAAATTAACACTTGTTGTCCGCCCTTAAAGATTACTACTTATTTTTTTAGCTCACACAAACTTGAGATTCGTACAATATTCTATAGTAAAGCTTGATTTGCTATATGATGATAATTCGAAACAAAAAGAGAAAGAAAGAAGAACAAGTATGCATGTGTTATGCATAGGCAGTGTGCCATATGCACACAAAACCTTTACAAACTAAAAAAAAAAAAAATTACTTCTTGCGTTTTGCTCCGTCATGTGTATTTTGAGTGCTATATGTCTACTTTGATTTTTCTTGAGCGTAAAATATCTTGAACTGGTTGAAGATTAATTTACTCCTCTCTCTTTTTGTTAGTGGGTACATAAAATTATATATATATATAGCATATGGGATAGGAATAAGTGAATAGGAATAAGTCATCCACCAACTTTTTTAACCGTTGATATTGCATTGGGATCCGTGATAGATATGAAGATATAGTAGGAAGAAGAAAAAATACTATGTTTATTGTTTGTTTCATAAATTTTTGAAAGTAGAGGAAATCATATTTCTTCCACTTCATTCAATTTTTTTGGAAGCAATTATAAATATTGTTAGGAAGAGAGAAATAATATTCTTCAGGATTTTATTTAGAAATAAAGAATATCCATAATCCAGAACCATACAATAAAAATTATTTTTATTTCTAAATTGACTCAATTTTAGCTGCTTTCAAAGTACTTTCGAGCCTTGAGGGGATGAAAAAATTTAAGAAGTAGGGATGACATGTAGGCGCTACACCAGCATCTAAAGAAGTACTAGAAATAATTTTTTTTGAAGAAACAAATATATTTTTTTACTCGGAAATAACAGAAATAACCCCTACTTTATTTACTTAAACTACTTTATAGTCACATCTATGTGAACAAATAGGCCAGGGTGATTAAGCTTGAGGGACAATGTACCATTCTTGCTTTAAATTTTTCTTATCATTCCCAAACAAATAAAAATAGAAACTGTAGACTATCTTGCCTTTATTTCTGAATCCACTTATTTAACATTGAAAGAAAGAGAAAAATCATTTAAGTTTCAATAATAAAAGATGTGAAAAAAGGTACTTGCCTAAAAATATATAGATATATTTCTGAACAATAATTATAATGTGGAACGTGGTTTAAGGCTCAGCCATCCGTGGAGGCAAGTTCTTATTGGGGGCTTTTGCACCTGATTGAGATTCCACTTTCTTTGTTCTTGGATGCTCGATCGTGATGATTTTCTCCCTCCACACGTGTGATTTGGAACAAAGTGGGAACTCTATATATAACAAATAAAAAGATATTTTATGGTGCTTCTGAAGTGGATAATAATTTTTAGTTTGTAATTAGTGGATTGTCCTCCTATCTTTGCAATTGCTAATCTTAAAGTCCCATCTTCGGCCAACACTTGCGCAATGGTGTCAAGTTTCAGAAAATCTATTTTAAATCCTTGGCCGGTTGGATTTAAACGTGAGCTACTCTGCTACCATCCTAAAATCTTTCTAATCATTATACCTAAACTTCAATGTTATTGTGAGCGTTAAAGATTATATTTTCATATTCTAACAACTAAAATACATTTTGTAAAAATGTTGGTTGCATATATTAGACATGTGTCAAGTTTTATTGCAAATTGCCTTATATTTATATCTCTAGTTTTCTAATTACCTTTATTTCTTCTTCAAACTTCTAATCTTTATTAGTTCAGACCTGGATCTAAATTTGCTCCACATGAATTCTTTAAAAACACGAAAAAGTGACTAACTTTCTGTCACGTATTCTGACATGATAAAAATTTAGTCGTTATTTTAATGTAATAACTAGTCTTTTGGTGCACGCGATATGTACATGATACAATTTAAATTTAAGGTGAGACGAAGATGCATTCCAAATCAATCATGAAACCTGGGTTGCTCAAGTTGGAAATTATTTTTCCAAGTTTAAGTAGGGATAAAACAATAAAAATTAGTGGCGGAAAATCTTCTTTTAAAGACGAGTAATAACGATTCCTAAAGGGGAAAAAATAGAAAAAAAAAGTAGAGGATAAGTAATTGTTTTCTTTAATTAAAATTTCAAGGTTAATAAAAATCATCCAACAAATAACTTTTTTATTTTTCCCTTGACCAAATTTTGCGCCGGAAGGATTCAGTTCAGTTACGTATCGGTAGCTCTGTATGAATCCGTGACGGATAACTGCGATAGTTCCCAAAAGGAAAACTTTGCTTCGCATTGTTCGGCTTTTCCAAAAGAGTGATAGGTTGGGGGTGGATACCAACCTCCGGCGGCGGAGGAGCTCCGACGAGCTCCAGGATGGCGGCGGCGAGGTCCAGGCGACAGGCGGCGAGGTCCAGGCGACAGGATGAGCTCGAAGCCTCGAGCTCTGCGTTCGTTCGAAGCTGGCGTCGATGGCGAGCTCTGCGTTCGTTCGAAGCTGGCGTCGATGGCGAGCTCTGCGTCGATGGTCGAACTCTGCGTCACAGGATCGATGGCGAGCTCTGCGTTGCGATGGCGAGCTCTGCGTTTTTTGGGGGGGAGGTCCGAACTTGGCAGCTCCTCCTCCTCATCCGCCTATAAAAGATACCCCCAGCTTAGGGTTTTGGGTTGCTGATTCTTCCCCCCTCTCCTCCGATTTCTTCTTCTCTAGGCGGCGGCTGCCCTAAATCGCAGAGGCGATTTTTCTCCAGCTCTCAACGGGAATTTTGAGGGGAGATTAAAAGAGAGATTAAGAAGAGAGAGAGGAATTAAAGTGGGGTTTATATTGTGGGGTATTTATTCTCAAGTGAGAATTGAAAGGGTTCATACCCTTTGATTATTAACACTGTAGCTACAGTGTTTATTTGAGAAATCTCAGTTTTGAGATCTGCTCCTAAATTGTAATTTCTTGTTTGATTAATAAGAAATTATCTGTGTGGCTCCCGAGGACGTAGGCAGTTGCCGAACCTCGTAAATCTTGGTGTACTGTTCTCTATACCGCGTTTCCGTTGCATTAGGGGATTTAGGCGTTAAATTCCCAACAAAGAGGCGCAACATTTGGGGGACAAAGCTTGTCTGCTAAGTTATAGAAAGGAATTTTGGCAGATATAATGTCATGTGATCCACGTATCCGAAAGTTTCTCGCTTGATTTTTATCTTCTTACCATTAATAGATATTTAATATTTGTCATGACACTCTTGATTTTCTTATTTATATATTTTTTTTCCGGTTTGATGAGAAAACTTTCTCACGATCTTTCCGACCATGTTTATCAAACCCATGGGTATGGCTAAAGGGCAGCCCCTAACGCACGGCCTTGAGTATTCTAGGAAATTAAATTCTTGCGGGTGCTTCCCAGCATAGTTGAACCCTGAGATCTTAGCCTACTACTTATAGGCAGCTTACCAGCTCGGCTAGACCCTCTTGGATCATTT